CTGAAACATCTGAAACATTTCTGCCTCGTGGATAATGATTTATGTATTTTTTTCTCACTCTTAGAGCACTGAGCAATTGCAGAGTCTATGTGTTTGCTGAGGAGGGAGGCTTCCTGAATTCATTTTAGCAGAAAGACACCCCACTAGAATATATTAACACTGGATTAGGAATAAGAAAACTGAGAATTTAGTTCAAAGTGCGTAACTGTATATGCAACCTTGAGTAGATAACATAGCCTAGGGAGTTCTAATTTTCTTACTTGTTGAGAGGTAGGAGCTGGATATGATGGCTTCTAAGTTACTGTCTAACACTGGGATTATTTGTGTTCTTGCAAATTCCATTACCACCATGGGTACATATTTTTAAAAATATGATTTACATTTATATTGAACTTAATTATGGAGACCCTATGTTATTTGTTGACTTTTTATCAATGTACCCAGACTTTTTCTTCATTGTTAAAAGAAAAAAAAATTGACGTAAGTGGTTTTTTAAACTGGTTTAAGATAGAAAACATTTACAGTAATAAAATTAAGTTGCACTGGAAAAATATATCTGCCAAGGACACAGTGTGCCCCAATGTGCTATTTATTTGCATTTACAGGAAAACCCAATTATAACAGCTATTTTCAAGAACTAATATCACTAGAGACTGAATGTATAGTAGAGCAAGCAGATGATAATGTGTCCTAAAAAACTGACCTAGCCAGGAACATGTACGTGGTGACTCACCCACATTTTGTTATTCTTCTGTGAAATTCTACATTTGATCTAAAATATTGTTGCTGATATTTATGTAAAATAAGACAGAATAAATCACTAGGCTAAATTTAATATTTGTCTCAGGTGAAGTGAGGTGCTAAAATTGTATGTCATGATTTCTAAAAGTTCTCTTTTTAGATTGGACAGGGTAAATTTTGCAACCAAATACCTCTTTGGTAAACCTTACACCATGGGACTGGTGTAAAGTGAAAACAAGCAGGTCTCTAACCAATTGCTGCTGCTGCTACTTTAAAATTCATCTCAGTGAAACCTTTATTGAGCTGGCTGCAATTCAGGAAGGACACACTCCATACTTACATCAGACACAAAGGTCTTTCCTTCCATAATCATTCCCTAAGGGGAGTAGTTGTTTAGTGGAGTCATTTCTCTGTGGTCTGTTACACCTTAAGCAAGAATTTATGTCTCCTTAATTTCAAATCATAGCAGGTAAGATTTAAGCTGGCTTTTAAGTTCATCCGTGTGAAGATGACCATGGTGTAAAGGCTACTCAGTGGGTAGCCTGGGTCCTGTCTTACCTATGCTAACTAGTTGTGGTACCTTGGGAACAGTCCCTAATCTTTCTGGGTCTTGTTCTCTCCTTTGTCAAATGAAATGGATTTCACAAATTTTTCTTTGTGAGCCCTTCCCCATGTGAGACTTTCGTGATGATGAGGTCTCTTTCTGTTTAGGCAAGATGCCTTCTCACTGTCCTCTTCTTGTTTCTCATTTCCTCCAAGGACTTGTGAATATAACACTTTTAGTGGTGACAGACTAATGCATCTGTCCACCCCTCACCATCATCTCTCTCCAGGACTGCTGTTATAGACTCTTAGATACCTCTTGTCACATCCATTCTCTGCTTAGTTCCCATTCAGTAATTCTTTATAAGGAATGCTCTTTATAAAAACCTCAAATTTTATCATTTCACCTCTCTCCTTAAACTGTTAAATGGCTTTGATGGCTTTTAGGTCCAAATCCCAAATCCTCAACGTGGTCTATTGAGCTCTTTACTCCCTGCCATCTCTGGCACGTTCCCATGCCCCCACCATGTTTTAGTTTAAATGTGCTGAAATAAGCACAAATAATATACTTTTACCAAAGGACCACTGGTGATATCATGCTGAGGATGTTGCTGGGTGTGGCTTCTCAAATGTCTCCAGCTCTTCAGGAAAGATGTGCTCAATTTGATGGTCATGGAATTCTTCTTGCCTAGGCATAAGACTGCTTCTTCTATCTCTAAACATATTGCCCAAAACTTAAGAGGAAGTATGTTACATGGTTGCAAAATCTGCCCCGTTTTAGCCATATCACCAGTATATAACATCCTAGTTTTAGGGAAATATTTTCCATAGGCTAACAGGGCCATCTTACTACATGGTTCACAAGTTATATAATAATGATTAGGTATCACACATGGGTACTATATTAGTTTAGGCTGCTGTAACAGAACACTATAGACTGGGTAGCTTAAACAACAAATGCTTGTTTCTCATAGGGTTGAGGCCTGGGAAGTCTACGATCAAAGTGCAGGCAGAGTCAGTGTCTGGTGAGGACCCAGGCCCACTTCCTGGCTGGTAGATGACTGTCTTATCACTGTATCTTCACATGACTGAGAGAGAAATAATTTTTCTCCTGTTTCTCCTTAAGGTCACTAAACTTATTCCTGAGCAGTCCGCCCTTATGACCTAATCACTTCCTGTGATAAATGAATTTTATGTGTCAACTTGACTGGGTTAAGGAATACCCAGATAGCTGGTAAATGTTATTTCTGAGTGTGTCTGTGAAGATACTTCTTAGAAGAGATTAGCATTTGAATCAGTAGACTGAGTACAGAAGATTCACCCTCACCAATGTGGGCTGGCACCATCTACTCCATTGAGGGTCCAGATAGAACAAAAAGGGAGATGAAGGGTGAATTCTCTGTCTTCTTCAGTTGGGACATCCATCTCTTCCTGCCCTCAGACATCAGAGTTTCCAGTTCTAGGCCTTCTGACTCCAGGGCTTACACCAGCCCCTCCACTCTCACCCTGGTTCTTGGATTCTCAGGCCTTTGACCTCGCCTGAATTATACCACCAGCTTTCCTGTTTCTCCAGCTTGCAGATGTTTTATTGTGGGACTTCTCAGGCTCTGCAGTGGTGTGAGCCAATTTTCATAATAAATCCCCTCATCTATTTATCTCTATATATTCACTTTGTTCTATTTCTCTAGAGAAAGCTGACTAATACATCTCCCAAAGGTCCTGTCTTCCAATATCATCACATTGGGGACTTGAATTTCAACATGTGAATTTTGCAGGGACACAAACATTTGGTTCATAACAGATATACATGGGACATTGATAGTCTATGGATAAGCATGCTTGGTGATACTTTTAGGCCTATGATGGAGTCACTACTGCAGGCCTGGCTGGAAGCTACCATTCAACTATGTGGGCCTCATCTCAGTTCTGCCAATGTTACTTACGACCTTTTTCACCAGAGGGCATTCTCCATTGCTGCTGCTTTTGCTCAAATGATTCTTTAACTCTCACTTACACCTTCTTTTTCATTGAGGTAATTTCTGTTTACAATTCAAATCTTCTTAGTTTACAAGTCACTTTTTATCAGAAACTTTTCTTGTTCTTTTAAACTAGGTTGGGGGTCTCTGTTTCATGCTTCTGTAATACCCTTATCTCCTACAGAGGGTGTTACTGTATTTCTAGTTCTATGACCATCTAGCTTTAGATTGTAAGTTCTGTAAGGGAAAAGATTATCTAGTTCATGCCAAAGCCCCAGCAACTAGCATGGGGTCCAGCATATAGTAGTCAGTGACCCCCCAAAAATCTGTTTTATGAATAAAGGAATAAATAAATATAGAGGAGAAAGACATAATAGAGAGGAATTAAAGGATTTCAAGGAGGGAGAGGAAGTACTTCTTGCTGATGCCGATGGTGTAACTACTAAGAACTGGGAGAAATAAATGAAAAACGCCTCTTGCCTGGGCTATGATCCTCATTTTAGCTTCCAAGGAGGTGGAACTGTTAAATAGAGTCCTTTCAGGTCTTCTATGGAAAAGAAGTATAGGTTAACATTAGGACAGACACCTAGTAAATCAGGGAAGGCACTGTGGTAGAGCAGTCCTGAGGCCCAGAAATAGATCTGGCCCCAACTCTGTGTACACTCCTACAAATACAAGGTGCTTTAAAAAAATAGAGACAGGGTCTCACTATATTGCCCAGGCTGGTCTTGAAGTCATAAGCTACAGTGCCTGGTTGACCAGGGCTTTTTTATTGTGAATTTTGGGAAGCTGTATTTTTTCTTTGTTATCTTTATATTCCATATCTTTTCCTCACTGATAGCAAAAGTATAAAAAAGAAAGAAAAAAGAATTCTTAGAGAACCTCAAAAAAGTCATGTGTTTGTTTATAAGGCAGGCAAGCATTCTGTGTTTATATTCTCAGTGAGTCAAGAAGGGAGACCACCATGGTCAGAGCAATAACTTTTGGCAACAGAAAAGGAAACAAAGGATTTATTGAGGAAGAGAGGCAGGAGGAAAAGGAGAGTGGACAGAAGCTGCTCTGAAATTGTGATTCTATAGAATCTGGCAGGCATTCCTTTGAGCTACCCACCCCTAATAAACAATATTCCTCACCTCACCTCTTCTGATCTCCCTGTAATTCCCTGTGGTTCCCTTTCTTACCAGACCAGTGCCTTTAATCCAGGACATAGGATCAATTTTTAATAGCTAAGAATGTTAGTGCAATGAGAGTGCCAGTCATATAATAGACATTGTAAAGTGAAAATATAACTATGTATTAGCTTAAAAACAAGGGTAGATATGATCAGTTATCATAGGTTATTTTCATAAACAACACCATGATCTCAGTGATTAAACTCACATGAGAAAAAGTTACTTGTGTCCTAGAGGTTTAATAAAAAAAGGGAATAAGAGGGACTCTGCTCCACACAGTAATTCAGGGATTCAGCCTTTCCCCAGTCTTTACTCTTCTACCTTCTAGGTTTTGTCTGCCTGTGTTTTCAGCCAGCAGATGATTAGAGATTACTCATGGGAGGGTTTATTAACTAGTCTTGAAAGTAGCATACACTTCCACCTACATTCTACAGGTTAGAACTCAATCTCAATGCTGCAACCAACTATAGGGGAGAATGGAAAATACAATTGTACTAGTTTCCTAAGACTGCCATAGCAAAGCACTACAGACTGGGTAGCTTAAAATAACAGAACCATATTATCTCACAGTTATGAAGGCTAGAAGTGCAAAACCAAGGAGTCCTCAGGGCTATATTCCTTCTGGAGGCTCTAGAGAAGGATATTCTTCTGCCTTTTCTGAGCTTCTAGTGGTTGCTGGCAATCCGTGGCATCCCTGGCCTTGTAGCTACATCACTCCAATTTCTGCCTCTGTCATTGCATGGCCATCTTTTTTTTGTGTGTGTCTCTACATATAATTTTTTTCTCCTCTTATAAGGACACCTGGTCATTGGGTTAGCCCACCCTAGTCCATTATGACCTCATCTTAACAGGATGACATCTTCAAAGACCCTACTTCCAAATAAGGTCACATTTACAGGTGCTAGATATTAGGACTCGAACGTATCTTTTAGAGGGACACAGTTCAACCCACAACAGTGGTCTAGCTATGTGCCCCAAAGGGAAAGAAAAATGGTTTGGTGTCCCCTGTTGGATCTTTGACAAGTTGTTAAGATTTTCTGCTAGAAGTAATAGTGAGTGAGAAAGCCTTTCAAGGGCTTTGGAGAACTGAGATTTTTTTTTTTTAACATTGTTTCTGTGAAAAAATGTGTTTGTAACAACAGACAACTCTGACTCACAAATGGAAACAATCTACCTCTAAGACATAAAGACTTATGCTTCAGGAAACTTTACCCCACTCAAATAATGTTATGAATTTAAATAGTATGTTAGAGCTCATAATACTATTAACTCTAATGGTTTAATAAAATAGAATAGGCATATGAAAATTAGAATAATCACCTCTAAAACTCCGTGCCTATAAAATATGCTTAACATAAAACCAATAAAGACATCTTCATATTTCTACTGGGTCATTGTTATCTGACAGTGGTTTCTGCTCCTGGCATTTTCCATCTTAATCTTTGCCCATCTTACACTTTATTAAGTGGCTGCTTTTCACTGAAGCCAGCCATGATTTAATAAAAGAGCAACAGTCTTCAAATCTGAGGAACTTAAGCTCTATATCTTATTAACTTTCTTACTTTGGTCAAGTCACCAAACCCACTTTTTATTTCAGTTTTCTCACCTGTACTGCGACTGGCACTAATCTCTTGTATGGTTATGACAATCCCATAAAGTCACTTAGTACTTACTGAGTGTCTGTTATATGCTGGCACTCTTATAGGTGCTTGAAATATATCAATGAGAACAACAAAGATCTCTGTTCTTATGGAGCTTCCCTTCTAGGAACCAAAAGGGTTTTAGGAATTATAAAATGCAAATGTAAGGTATTATCATCATTGCCATTGTGTCTCCAGCAACTCAATTTTCTCAAATATCTGTAAAAATCTTATTTAAAATTATATCTAGTTATTAGATATCAGAAAGTACATAAAGAGAAAAAAAATCTAAGAAATAAAAAAATCATCTTTTAGATGTCTAACTAGCAGTAAAAACTTATAGTACATGCTGAAAATAATTCCTTATTGCATATAAAAATAGCTCCTAGACCCCTATTATATGCCATGCACTGTAGTAGGCTTCATATGGCATGCCAAGATAGATAGGAATCCTGCCCTCAAGGAGCTTAGAGTCCAGTTAGGGACATGCCCACTGGAAAATATACTATTAGGATAGAAAGTGAAGAATACTTGGCAGACAGGCACAAAGAAATTGATGGGAAGCTTTCAGAAAAAGAAAGTGACTGCAAAACATTTATAACATCTTGTTGATATTTTCTATATAGATACATTTTCCCTCTGATGTTGTAATCAACACAATAGTACCAGCAGCACCTGTTTAGCTACTGGTGGGGATTTTAATTTTATACAGAATGTAGATATTTACATCTATGTTATGCTGTGTAGTATTTGAGCAGTACTTTGACTCTGTACAGGAAGTGCATTGTATACAAATTTAAATAATATTTCAGAATGACACTGCTATGGCTTGAATGTTGACATCCCCTCCAAAATCATGTTGAAACTTAACCCCCGATGTGATGGTATTGGGGGATTGGGCCTTTAGGAGGTGATTAAGTCATGAGGATAGAGCCCTCATGAATGGGATAAGTGACCTTATAAAAGGGCTGGAGGGGTGTGCCTATAGTCCCAGCTACTCAGGAGGCTGAGGCAGGAGAATCACTTGAACCCAGGAGGCGGAGGTTGCAGTGAGCTGAGATTGCACCACTGCACTCCAGCCTGGGCGATAGTGAGACTCCGCCTCAAAAAAAAAGAAAAAAAAAAACCCCAAAAAACAAAAACTAAAAAACAAACCAAAAAAGGGCTGGAGGGAACAAGGTAGACACTTTTTGCTTTTCTTTCCTTCCACCATGTGAGGACAGTGTTTGCTATGACATCTGTGAAGCCGAGACCTGGCCCTTACCAGACACTGAGCCTGCTGGTGTCTTGATCTTAGTACTTCCCAGCCTCAGAACTGTGACAAATAAGTTTCTATTATTTATAAATTACCACATCTCAGGTATTTTGTTATAGGAGCAGCAACACGCTAAGATATACAACAAGCAGCCAGCAGGTTATAGCAAACTATCAAACTGAGCACTGTATGTTTGTCTGTTGACAGAGGAGGCATTGTTACAAAGGTTATCTGAACACAATCAGAAATTACTAATTCGTAAACTGTTGAAATGTGAAGTACATTATTTTCAATTTGCATTGCAGAGGTGCTGTAAAAGCAATGATTCTATTACTAATTGGGCTACCAAACCCATTGACTGAAAAACATGTTCAGACTTTAGTTGACAAAGAATAGTGTTAACAGCATCTCTCCCCTATTGATTCAGTTACTATGAAGGTCTTCCATTTTGCTTCTTTTCTTCTTTTCATAGTATAATAGTTTCCTCAACATTTTTGCCAAGAAGTTCCCATCTCAGGACCTTTGAACTGCTATTCTCTTTGCCTGTAATATTCTTCCTTCAGATAATTGCTTGGCTTGGTCCCTTCATTCAGATTTCTAAAGAGCATTCCTTTTTTTTTTAATGCAAAATAATTTTATTTTCCCCAACAACAATGAGGAAGCAGAATGGCATTGTTTTACATTTTTACCAATATCTTTAATATCTGGCTTAAGAGAAGAGAGCTTGATTTTCATATCTGTTTCTGTACTCAGTCAGTTGAGTTGGTTGTGATGTCACAGTTCATATTGACTACACCCTACCCACCCATGGGACAATGATATTTATAATGCCAAGTAACATCTTGATATTCTTATCAAACAGTTTTGACCTTGAGGAGCCTCTGAAAAGGTTATGGCGACCTTGGCAGCCCCACTTTGAGAACCACTGGATAGCTCATCCTCCCCTTCCTGTCCTGTCCTATGCAAATCTCAATGTGGTTTTGATTTGCATCTCTCTGATGACCAGTGATGATGAGCATTTTTTCATATGATTGTTGGCCTCATATATGTTTTCTTTTGTAAAGTGTCTGTTCATATCCTTTGCCCACTTTTGAATGGGCTTGTTTGTTTTTGTCCTGTAAATCTGTTTAGTTCTTCATGGATTTTGGATACAAGCCCTTTGTCAGATGGGTAAACTGCAAAAATTTTTTCCCATTCTGTTTGTTGCCGATTCACTCTAGTGACTGTTTCTTTTGCCATGCAGAAGCTGGGGAGTTTGATTAGGTCCCATTTGTCTATTTTGGCTTTTGTTGCCAATGCTTTTGGTGTTTTGTTCATGAAGTCCCTGCCTACTCCTATGTCTGGGATGGTTTTGCCTAGATTTCCTTCTAGGGTTTTGATGGTGCCAGGTCTTATGTTTAAGTCTTTAATCCATCTGGACTTAATTTTAGTGTAAGGTGTCAGGAAGGGGTCCAGTTTCTGCTTTCTGCACATGGCTAGCCAGTTTTCCCAACACCATTTGTTAAACAGGGAATCCTTTCCCCATTGCTTGTTTTTGTCAGGTTTATCAAAGATTGTATGGTTGTAGATATGTTGTGTTGCCTCTGATGCCTCTGTTTTGTTCCATTGGTCTATATATTTGTTTTGGTACCAGCACCATGCTGTTTTGATTACTGTAGCCTTGTAGTATAGTTTGAAATCCGGTAGTGTGATGCCCCCCGCTGTGTTCTTTTTGCTTAGAATTGACTTGGCTATGCGGACTCTCTTTTGGTTCCATATGAAGTTCATGGTGGTTTTTTCCAGTTCTGTGAAGAAAGTCAATGGTAGCTTGATGGGGATAGTGTTGATTCTGTAAATTACTTTGGGCAGTATAGCCATTTTCACGATATTAATTCTTCCTAACCATGAACATGGAATGTTTCTCCATCTGTTTGTGTCCTCTCTGATTTCGTTGAGCAGTGGTTTGTAGTTCTCCTTGAAGAGGTCCCTTACGTTCCTTGTGAGTTGTATTCCAAGGTATTTTATTCTTTTTGTAGCAATTGTGAATGGCAGTTCATTCTTGATTTGGCTTTCTTTAAGTCTGTTATTGGTGTAGAGGAACGCTTGTGATTTTTGCACATTGGTTTCATATCCTGAGACTTTGCTGAAGTTGCTTATCAGTTTCAGGAGTTTTTGGGCTGAGGCGATGGGGTCCTCTAGGTATACTATCATGTTGTCTGCAAATAGAGACAATTTGGCTTCCTCCTTTCCTATTTAAATACCCTTTATTTCTTTTTCTTGCCTGATTGCTTGGGCTAGAACTTCCAGTACTATATTGAATAGGAGTGGTGAAAGAGGGCATCCTTGTCTAGTGCCGGGTTTCAAAGGGAATGCTTCCAGTTTTTGCCCATTCAGTATGATATTGGCTGTTGGTTTGTCGTAAATAACTTTTATTACTTTGAGATACATTCGATCGATACTGAGTTTATTGAGGGTTTTTAGCATAAAGGGCTGTTGAATTTTGTCGAATGCCTTCTCTGCGTCAATTGAGATAATCATGTGGTTTTTGTTTTTGGTTCTGTTTATGTGGTGAATTACGTTTATAGACTTGCGTATGTTGAACCAGCCTTGCATCCCCGGGATGAATCCTACTTGATCATGATGGATAAGTTTTTTGATTTGCTGTTGCAATCGGCTTGCCAATATTTTATTGAAGATTTTTGCATCTATGTTCATCATGGATATTGGCCTGAAGTTTTCTTTTCTTGTTGGGTCTCTGCCGGGTTTTGGTATCAGGATGATATTGGTCTCATAAAATGATTTGGGAAGGATTCCCTCTTTTTGGATTATTTGGAATAGTTTCAGAAGGAATGGTACCAGCTCCTCTTTGTGTGTCTGGTAGAATTCAGCTGTGAACCCATCTGGACCTGGGCTGTTTTTGTATGGTAGGCTCTTAGTTGCTGCCTCAACTTCAGACCTTGTTATTGGTCTTTTCATAGTTTCAGCTTCCTCCTGGTTTAGGCTTGAGAGGACACAGGAGTCCAGGAATTTATCCATTTCTTCCAGGTTTACTAGTTTATGTGCATAGAGTTGTTTGTAATATTCTCTGATGATGGTTTGAATTTCTGTGGAATCTGTGGTGATTTCCCCTTTATCATTTTTTATTGCATCTATTTGGTTGTTCTCTCTTTTCTTTTTAATCAATCTGGCTAGTGGTCTATTTTGTTGATCTTTTTAAAAAACCAACTCTTGGATTTATTGATTTTTTGGAGAGTTTTTCGTGTCTCAATCTCCTTCAGTTCAGCTCTGATCTTAGTTATTTCTTGTCTTCTGCTGGGTTTTGAGTTTTTTTGATCTTGCTCCTCTAGCTCTTTCAATTTTGACGATAGGGTGTCAATTTTGGATCCCTCCATTCTTCTCATATGGGCACTTATTGCTATATATTTTCCTCTAGACACTGCTTTAAATGTGTCCCAGAGATTCTGGCATGTTGTGTCTTCGTTCTCATTGGTTTCGAAGAACTTCTTTATTTCTGCCTTCATTTCATTGTTTATCCAGTTAACATTCAAGAGCCAGTTGTTCAGTTTCCATGAAGCTGTGTGGTTCTGGGTTGGTTTCTGAATTCTGAGTTCTAACTTGATTGCACTATGGTCTGAGAGGCTGTTTGTTATGATTTCCATTGTTTTGCATTTGCTGAGGAGTGATTTACTTCCAATTATGTGGTCAATTTTTGAGTAGGTGTGATGTGGTGCTGAGAAGAATGTATATTCTGTGGATTTGGGGTGGAGAGTTTTGTAAATGTCTATCAGGTTTGCTTGCTCCAGGTCTGAGTTCAAGCGCTGGATATCCTTGTTGATTTTCTGTCTGTTTGATGTGTCTAATATTGACAGTGGTGTGTTAAAGTCTCCCACTATTATTGTGTGGGAGTCTAAGTCTCTTTGTAAGTCATTAAGAACTTGCCTTATGTATCTGGGTGCTCCTGTATTGGGTCCATATATGTTTAGGATCGTTAGCTCTTCTTGTTGTATCGATCCTTTTACCATTATGTAATGGCCTTCTTTGTCTCTTTTGATCTCTGTTGCTTTAAAGTCTATTTTATCAGAGATGAGAATTGCAACTCCTGCTTTTTTTTGCTCTCCGTTTGCTTGATAAATCTTCCTCCATCCCTTTATTTTGAGCCTTTGTGTATCCTTGCATGTGAGGTGGGTTTCCTGGATACAGCACACTGATGGGTTTTGGCTTTTTATCCAATTTGCCAGTCTGTGTCTTTTGATTGGTGCATTTAGTCCATTTACATTTAGGGTTAATATTGTTATGTGTGAATTTGATACTGCCATTTTGATGCTAGCTGGCTGATTTGCCCATTAGTTGTTGTAGATTCTTCGTTATGTTGATGCTCTTTAGCATTTAGTGTGATTTTGGAATGGCTGGTACTGGTTGTTCCTTTCTATGTGTAGTGCCTCTTTCATGAGCTCTTGTAAAGCAGGCCTGGTGGTGACAAAATCTCTGAGTACTTGCTTGTTTGCAAAGGATTTTATTTTTCCTTCACTTCTGAAGCTCAGTTTGGCTGGATATGAAATTCTGGGTTGAAAGTTCTTTTCTTTAAGGATGTTGAATATTGGCCCCCACTCTCTTCTGGCTTGTAGTGTTTCTGCCGAGAGATCTGCTGTGAGTCTGATGGGCTTCCCTTTGTGGGTGACCTGACTTTTCTCTCTGGCTACCCTTAGTATTTTCTCCTTTATTTCAACCTTGTTGAATCTGACGATTATGTGCCTTGGGGTTGCTCTTCTTGTGGAATATCTTTGTAGTGTTCTCTGTATTTCCTGCATTTGAGTGTTGGCCTGTCTTGCTAGGTGGGGGAAATTTTCCTGGATAATGTCCTGAAGAGTATTTTCCAGCTTGGATTCATTCTCTTTGTCACATTCAGGTACACCTATCAAACGTAGGTTAGGTCTCTTCACATAATCCCACATTTCTTGGAGACTTTGTTCATTCCTTTTTGCGCTTTTTTCTCTGATCTTGGTTTCTTGTTTTATTTCATTGAGGTGATCTTTGACTTCTGATATTCTTTCTTCTGCTTGGTCAATTCGGCTGTTAAAACTTGTGCATGCTTCGCGAAGTTCTCGTATTGTGTTTTTCAGTTCCTTTAATTCATTCATATTCCTCTCTAAGTTATCCATTCTTGTTATCATTTCCTCGAATCTTTTTTCATATCTTTTTTCAAGGTTCTTAGTTTCTTTGCATTGATTTAAAACATGTTCTTTTAGCTCACAAAAGTTTCTCATTATCCACCTTCTGAAGTCTAATTCCATCATTTCATCACCATCCAGCTTTGTTCCCTTGCTGGTGAGGAGTTTTGGTCCTTTCTAGGAGGCGAGGTGTTCTGGTTTCGGGTGTTTTCCTCCTTCTGCGCTGGTTTCTTCCCATCTTTGTGGATTTATCCACCTGTCATCTGTGTAGTTGCGGACTTTTTGATTGGGTCTCTAAGTGGACACCCAGATTGTTGATGATGAAGTATTTCTGTTACTTGATTTTCCTTCTACCAGTCTAGCCCCTCCACTGTATGACTGCTGAGGTCCACTCCAGGCCCTGCTTGTCTGGGATGCACCTATAGCAGCTGTGGAACAGTGAGGGATGCCACCAGTTTCTTTTTCTGTTATCTTTGTCCCAGAATGATGCCTGCCAAATGTCAGTCGTTTGGATATAGAGGGGTCAGGGAGCTGCTTGAGGAGACAGTCTGTACTTTATAGGAGCTCAAGTGCTGAGCTGTGATCTCTGTTGTTCATTCAGGGCTGTTAGGCTGCTACGTTTAATTCTGCTGCGGCAGAACGCATCAAAAAAACCCTTTTTTTCTCAGATGCTCTGTTTTGAGGGGGTTGGGGCTTTTTTTGTGAGTGTTCGTTGTGCTCTCCTGCCCAGCTAGGAGGCAGTCTAGTCACTATTTGCCTGCAGAGGCTCCGCCCTGCTGGTGTGAGGTCCACCCTGTTGCTGCAGGCTCTGCCCTGCTGCTGCGGTCTCCGCCCTGCTGCTAGGGGCTATGCCCTGCGGCAGAGTCTCCCTGTTGTAGTGGGTTGCCTCGGCAATGGCAGGCTGCATCAGCAATGGGCATGTACCTCAGTAGGGGCTGATTGCCTCAGTAATGGTGGACGCCCCACCCCCATGGAGCTGCACCATCCTGGGTTCAGCTGTGCCCTCAGGGAACCTCTCCACCCAGAGCATTTGGAATCACCGTTTTGTTGGTCCCACTGTGCTACCCCAAACGCTGTTTCCCTGGAATCTTCTGGGCTGGCTCACTGTCCAAGTCCCATTCAGTCTCAAGTTCAGCCCTCTCATTCTCAGATTGCCGGTTCAACAGGGCACCCGGACCAGTGCGCTTTGTGCGGAGCGCTGTGTAGTGCCGCTGCGCTACAGCGCCAGCTGCTGGCTACACTGGCTGCCGGCTGCGCCAGCCAAAGCCTCTGCCTGGTGTCCCGCGTCTCTTTTGTATTTGGGAATTTCCCCATTCTGTGGGCAACAAAGATCTGTCTGGAAATGCGGCCCTGATTCACCCTCTCTGCACATTCACCGAGAGCTTCAATCCTGGGTTGTTCTCACCGCGCCATCTTGAGTCCCCTCCGCCTGTTTTCTTTATCATGATAGCCGCTGTAGTTAGGGCAGTGTGCCTCTAGTGCTCAGTTCCTGGCACACGAGAGGCACTCAATAAATATTTATTGAGTAACTGAATCCAGTGTCCAAGCTGAGGCTACTCCCAAGAAAGGTCAAGAAAGGGGCACCTAGTGGGATGAGATGAGGGAATGAGTGAGGAGTTGGGTGAGCAGGTGTTAGGGGAGTAGGATGGCATGGGGATTTCAGTGGGGGCTCTGAAAACAGTGGGAGTTGGGCTTCTGGAGGCTTCTATAGAAGTTCTTTGGGGTTTTGTTTCAAAAAAACAGAACCTTTGTCTCTGACCTGGCTGTGTGGTCCAAGGTACCACTGAGGCCATGGTGAGAAAACAGCATTGGTGGGATGGGTCTGATGAAAGAGGAGGACGGTGGAGGGAGTGAGGGGCAGCAAAACAGGGTTGACTCTAGATGAGGATGTGGAGAGGGGCCTTTAGGTGGTAAGGCAGAGGGAAAGAGCGATCCTAAAAGCAATGGGGAAAAAAGGTGAATTTTTGTTGCTGCGTCTGATGGAAAGGTGAGTACTCAAATTCTGCAGTCATTTTCACATAAATATTTCTAAAGTTACACTTTTCAGAGTTAAAAACTGTCTATATTTGCAATAATAATAAGATCAGCAATAGTAACACATTTTCATAGGCACCTTCCAATTTCAAAGTGCATTTATATACACTCTCTAGTTGGTTTAATCCTTACTCTATTTTTACTTCTAAGTATGCAGTGTATTATACTTTATGTTCATTTTCTGGGAATAAGGGCAAGTGTTTAGAATATACATATGTACGTTTGTACAAAGTATATCAGGCTCTGGTTGCATCTGCAAGTTAGTATTTTTAAATATGCAAGTATGGCCACTTTAGTCAACAAGTGAATTTGGGTTTCTTGTTGTAAAAACAAACATTTTTTTTTAATCAAGAAGAATTCTGGAACTTGATAGTATATACCCCTTGAGAGGAGGGATTGTGTTCTATTCATCCATGGATATAATTAGGTTAATAAAAATTTTGAGATCAGTTATAAAATACTGTAACTCCATTAGTTTTTTTATGTTTGTATTACTGATAGTGTCTTATATATTTAACAAACCTTGATTAACTGCCATTAATGTGCCATGGATCATGCTTGGTTCTGGGAAATTCACTTCTCCCCCAACCTAGACACACATAGGCATCCCTGACATAAAGCTCTTGGCCTATCAAGAAAAGATGGCTAGGTATTTGTGCAGTTGTGTAGTACATCGTCACAGGTGCTCTGTCAGAAGCTTACATTGGAAAGAGGAGGCACAAGAGAAGAGAGTGGTCTAGGTTACCTGGAGGCTGGAGAAGCTGTTCTCAAGGCTTCATGACAGAAGTCATCCTTGAGCATAGTTTTAAAAGATTATATTTTAAACCAAGTGAATAACATCTGAAAATCATAGCTTTCTTATAGTCACTCTAGGATATTAATAGCCAATCCTTTTCCTTAAGTGGCTCTTGACCAGCTAAAATGTACCTCTTCAGGTTCAGAGACACATTTTAGAACGTTATAGTTTTCTCATTATGTATTGTATCTGTTCCATCTTGAAGTACCTGTAGGAAGAAATTGAGTGCAGGTTTTGTGTGTGCCTTGAGAGCTGATCCTATCAAGGGTGTGTCAGAAACCAACCAGCAGAGTCCCCAAATCACTCGAGTCCCTGGCGTTCTTTTTTCAAGGCTTTCTTCATTGTAGCCTGTTCCTGATGGTAATTGGTTGAATCAGATTTAACAATGCAGTCAGATAAACAGTTGTGGCAGCTGCTGCCATGGCAACGTCACCGTCCTTACCCTCCCAGTGCGCGCCCCTTCCCCACCCCTCCTCCTCCTCCTGCTTTCCTCCAGTAAGTGCATACTCGCTAGTGGTCTGTACAGGCGGCACGGTTTGATGGCAGAGATATTTTCTTTCCAAACAGTTCAAAATGATGAACGAAGATGCAGCTCAGAAAAGCGACAGTGGAGAGAAGTTCAATGGCAGTAGTCAGAGGAGAAAAAAACCCAAGAAGGTAAATCGCCAGAATTAGGAACATCTATGTATAAATATGTATGTGTGTGCATGTGTGAGTGTGTAATATCAGCGAGGCTATGGAAACCGTGGAGCATTATGAGTAACTGTAGACGATAACAGTGCCAAGCTTTGCTTTTTAAAGAGGCAGGTGCAAACTGCTGCTTTTTGAGAATAGTAGAGAAGCCATGGCTCATAATGGATACACTGACTGGAGCATGGTGAAGTGAATAGAGATAAGGTGTGTTCCGCATGTGGATTACTGAGGACTGTGACCACTGATGGGTACTTCTGGTGTTAACTGGGTAGAGAGAGAGAGTCATTTTATATTTAGAGTTTAAAAGGAATAGTGTGAAGCAAGGTGGATTGTGAAGCAAAAGGCAGATTTTTGGCTAGATGCGTTTGGTCTGTGATGATCCTGAGATGGCTAGACAGCAAATGCCTTTTGGTTTCATGCTAACTGTATTCCTCCTAAGGAGAAAAGACTGCTGTGACAGGAGAAATAGCCCCAGCATGATATTTCTTTGGCTTGCTTAGCTCCTCTGCAGTTCTCCCAGACATTGGTGCTCTTTCAATGATTAAGAAAAACAGCTAAATATATTATGGTGTGGGGGCTTTGGGGCACATAAAGCAGTTTGTAGGATTTCTTTCTGTGGCATACATTCCCACACCCTCGATTTTCATGGAAATGATAGCATCGAGAAACAGTGGGAAAAGATGCAAACTATTCAGCCCCACCCAATGCCAGCACTTCTTTCTTTATGGCCTGACTCCTGCTAAACTGTTGCAGCCTCGCAGAGCTTCCCTGAGCCTCACCTCTGAAAGAGATGCTTTATAAATTCTCCTAAAATGCATTTATTTCCTGGAGCAATAATATGGGCAGGATATTAGATATGATTCTAATGTAAATAAGCAGATTACAAAAATAATAAGCAAGAACAAATGAATGTTTTTCATTTTGCTAATGAAGTTGCATTGTGTTTCAAAATTCTAGATGTCTAGTGTACTAAATGTCTTATAATCTAAACATCCTAAGTAATTTGCAACCTCTGATATCTAAAAGATCATTGTATCAGCAAACAAGGGAGTAGTATATTTGTATGATATCATGCAATTTGATAAAAACAAGCATGTGACGATTTTTTAATCATAGCATAGAGATAGTGATGCAATCTGATAAAAGGCAAAAGGATAATTCAGGGCAGGCAGGAACATTGTAGAATGTCCTTTTCCTTTTGTACCTAAGCAGATCCAGATCCCCTAGACCTCAAAGGCATTTTTATAGAGTGTTAGCTAATTGACCAACATTAAAAAAAAGAAAAAGAAAATAGAGGGGAGAGAGAGAGAGAAAGCAAGAGGGGGAAAAAGAAAGAAAAAGGAATTTTTATTAAATTCACATTATCATTTTAAAATGTCTCTCTAAAGTCCTCGTGCTGCTTTAGAAACAATATACTGAAGACTATTTAAGGGGGTAGAGAATGAATCTTGACATTTTGAGCTCGGAGTGATGATACTAACTTCCCATGACCAAAGCCATTTTAAAGTATTTGAGGGGTAGAGACAACAAAGTCATCCTATATAATAACTATCATACCTTTAAGCTGAATTTTCTCAAACATATTTATATTAGGAGTAAGTCTTTATCCAAACTTACATCCAAAATGAAACAGCAAGTTTTGAATGTGTGTGTTAAAGCACCATGAATATTGAGTGTTAAAAGTAGTTTCACCTAAAAGAAATTGCTCTTGAAAAAAATGCCAATTACATAATAGATTGGGAGACAAACACATATAAACACACAAAACACACGTATCCCTCAGTTTGCCTGGTCAGTCAGACATAAGTGGGTCTGAATCTCAGTTCTACCCTTTAATTTTATGTGTTTAGAGCACATCATTTAATTTCATCCAGGGATTCATCTATAAAATGAGAATAATTATACATAGAGTATTTCGTGAGGATTAGAAAGAATGTATATATAATTCTTTGAACAGTATTTAAAACATATAGTCAATGGCAATAACTTTCAGGTGTTATTCTCTTAAATGGAATTTGTTTATTGCAATAAACCTTTGAAGAGAAAAATCTGTTTATACTTTCGAGAGAGGCAGAAATAACAGAATCCAATATTGGTGCTTTGCAAAGGTTAGTAGTCATTTTTCATAATGTCAAAAGTTATATGCTATAATTGGAAACTTTTTTACCTTATACAAATCATTGAAATTTACATAAATGTGCTTTAAGTCTTTATATTATTGGTTCACATCATTTTGCACAGTAGGAAACTTACAATTTCATATTTAAACACTAGACTGTTAATTGTGTCTTGATGAGGAAATTAGTAATAAAGAGATAAGCATCCCTAATAAGCGTAAAACCTGAGAAAGCAAAAATTGGAGTAAAGTCAATGTCACATCACTTCAATGCAATTGTTTGTTTTTCTATCAGAGGTTTACATTGAATCTGCTGTAGGATTCTACTTAAACATCTGGGATTATGGACCACCAACCTCACTATGTCCTGGGTGTAGATCCATCCTACTGAATCATATTCCTTGAAATCATGCCTCTATCTCTATCTAGTAAATGCATAACAGATGGGCTGTAATTTACTTGTTTATTCTGTACCTTCCAGAAGTAGCTCTTCTGAGGGACAGAGCTCAAGGGTCTTTTGCCACAAGACCTACAATGTGAGAAAATAAGCTCAAGGAGGAATTTGTTTATGTCAGAATTTTACTGAGTGTGTTGAGGATAGAAATTCTTTGAGCTTTACTTAAGAATGTCTATTTTGGCTTTAGTAAGTGAGCTTGTCAATGCTCCGCACTCAGAAACCACAAGGAGTACACTGGTGGTTGAACACGAAGGGTTTGTGACTCACTGCCACGAGGAGGATACAAATCATGGGAAACTGTGGGGCATCTCAGTAAGCGGGTGCCAGGAAGAATGCATAGGATACGGGCTTCAGTTGAGAAATTTGAAAGAGGGTTCAAGAGAGTGGTGACTCACTCTGGATGGGGTATTCTCAGAAAGCAGGAACAATTATACAATTGTGTATCCCAGTAAGTCTTATCTACAAGAGAAGAGGCTAGAGGGTTACTAAAGCTTTGGTTGTAAGGAAGCAGCAATCTCATCTGGCAAGAGAGGGAGATGTTTGGTATTTCGTGGCTTGGACAATGTCCTTGTTTTGTCTGTGTTCAGACATGATAAGGGAGTGGTGCTGTTTTGTTTTACTTTGTCATGGTCAGAGTGGCCTTGTCCGATGTTGATGCTTTGAGAAATTTTTTGGGTTCAACAGGAGAACACTGAGGCCTAGCTGATGGAACCAGGCCAGTTCCTGTGGATCAGTGGCTGCTTTTCTCATTCTTGAGCTTGAACACAAAGATACCTTTGGAGAGAGAAACACTTGTTTGTTATTGGATACATTTTAGTACCCAAAAAAATAAATGGTAGATAGTCATGTTGCTAAAGTAGTCATGAAAACCTTCAACTGATATTTCAATGAAGTTTTCTTAGGACCAAGATATTTCATACTAACAGATATTGCCCAAGGTGCAGATTTGGGATTGATGTTCTAGTGGTGGTTCAATGGCGAAGAAATAGGAGCGATTCTAATTCTCAGCTGGAATCCTGGACTAAAAAGAAGCATTGGGAGCTATATAAAATGTATCCCTGTAAGACAGCTTTGAGCCTATTATAAATCCTAGACAACTTTATAAAATCTTAGTTTTTTGGAGGCAGGGTCTCATTCTGTCACCCAGGCTGGAGTACAGTGGTACCATCATGGCTCACTGCAGCATCCACCTACCTGGCTCAAGTGATCCTCCTGCCTCAGCCTCCCAAGTAGCTGGGTCTACAGGCATGTGCCACCACAGCTGGCTATTTTTTTTTTCACTTTTTATAGAGACAGAGTCTCCCTAAGCTGCTCAGGCTGATCTTGAACTCCTGGTCTCAAGCGATCCTTCTCTCTCCTCCTCTCAAAGTGCTGGTTACAGGCTATAAAATATATTCCACTATTCCATTATTTTGACAGGTTAGATTAAAATAATCCAATGCCGTATTTAGGTGTGCAGCTCCACACACTTTCCAATTTTGTAGCAATAACATGGCAGTGGATTTGTACTAAAAGAGGCTGTAGGAGCTTTTGATAATTTACATAAATGGAAATGGGAATACCAAGCATCAATCACAGGTGACAGCTATCTGAAACCACTAGGCTTGTGAGTTCTTCTAAAACAAGTAAATATGTAAATGGTTTAGTAACTGTTTTCCTCATTTAGTGGAATAATAATATGAAGATAAAAATAAAATATAAGCACTATTATTTTCAACAGAGTAGTAGGATAAAATGGCTTTCTATGATACCTTATATTTATTGAAGATGCTTTGATCTGGATCACATAAATATTCATAAGCATTGCAAAATATATTGAAGGTATACACACACACACACACATTTAATCGCTGTTTACTTGCCACTGCCTAAATTGAGAGATGAGAGATGGAAGTGTTGCCAGATGTGTTGTTGAAATGTTGTACCATAGAAATGTGAATGAGTTACATATTTAAAGATTTATTTTTATAGCAGCCAAAGAAACTATGCCCTGTTCAGTGAAATCAGGTAGTAGATCCAACATTTAGGTGTCCAAATAGCATTGTAACCAATTAATTTTGAATTTAAACTTGATGACTTATCTAGTTCACTGGTGTCTAGAAATGCTTCCATGTATAATTTATCATGAATAATATCCCTATTTCTTCGGTCTTTCAAATAACTTACCATTTGCCCTTTATAAAATATCAACTTATAACCCAAAATAGCATGTGTTGCCTCAAGACAGTAATTCCCCATCACTGAAGGTATTTAAAATGACCATCTGTCAGGGATGATGGAAATTTTTATTGGAAAGAAAAATACCTTACAACCTGCTATTCTGTGATTTTCTTTCAATGTTTGCCTCTCTGTTCCTATTTACTCACCTTTATGATATTGGTTTTTTCACTG